TTTTTGTATTTAGGTTTTCTTTCAATTTATTAATATGTTCACTTTTAATATTAACATATTATTACTTAATATGTTCACTTTTAATATTAACATTAATATTTTATTAAATGTTTAACAACATATATTTACATAATTACTGTTTAAGCTAAAATTAGGCATTTCTGGGCCAACTTTAAACCCAGTCCAGATTCACTCCATCTAGTGTAGACAAAGAAAATAGACAGATAAAGACTAATAGAAAAATAAAGTAGCCAAAACCCAATAAATAATAGAAATATGGAATGTTCTAAATGATTAAAAGGCTGAAAGTGAACAAAAAACTATAAATGTAAAACCTTCAGAAGATACAAGATGGGGCTCTTTTATGGTTTGGGGCTGCATTTCAGCCAGTGTTATTGTAAACTTCACAGTCGGGCTGCCTACATTTATTTTATTTATTACATTTCTAATAAAATGTAAACAGCAAAGTAGTAGTCTGGGTAAATACATCGGCAAACCACTGTGTTTCTCACATTTAAAATTTGGTTTCATCACATTACAGATGGTAATGTTACCATCCAGGTGTTTTACAGGTGTTTTGTCATAAGTCCCGTGTTCATAAATGAGGTCCCTGATCTATGTGTAGACTTCGAGGAAACACAGAGCCTCCTGTTTCTCACATCATCTTTAACTCCCTTTAACTAACAAAAAAAACAAAAAACATTCAAACATAATATTACCAAAGTTGCATTGTAAAATTAACAATTAGAATTCATTTTGAAAATGGTGTGACCTGTTTTCTTCTAACAATAACTGATCGTGAGAGTTTCATCATAAAATAGATTTTTTTTTTTTTATAAAGTTCAAGGATATAATTATTTGGTATTTGTGTGTATCTGGTGCCAAATATTGCAAATCCTGTGACCAATGTTACATCACTTTGCTAAAAAGTCAAGTTAGGTAATTTATGGTTCTGCACCACGGTGCTGCAGCCTTATTATTCTGATGTAACTGGTTTCATCGCCGTCATTGACTGACACGCATGACGGTTTAAAACACTCATTATTTCAAGGTGGTGTTTTCCTATGCTGCTGAAGCCAATCAGTGAGCAGCTGAAGGAGAGTGTACCATTTTTCACCCCGTAGAATAGTACATTTCTCATAGAAAAGTATGTTTGTAGTTCACCCTCTAACAACTATTCTTTTTCACGCTTATTCTCATCGTGAGGATTAGACTTTTTAATTTCTGATTTTAAAGCATAGTTAAAAGGAAACGATGCAAGAGGAATTCTGGGTTTGCATAAAGAACTCAGGAGTGGCAGTGAAGTACATGAAGGAGGTGCTGCACAGAGGAAATTTTGAGTTGTGCATTCTGGATGATTGGTGATTTCCATGGTGATGGACAGAACTTTCTGTCAGTTGATGTTTGTTATGATATTTGTAGATGACATTTGTTAGTCGCACTGAGATTGTTATTAGGAGTGACCATGTTGGGCCGGAGCAGAAAAAAAGATGAATGAATGAATAATAATCATCCACAATCTGAGTATTGGGAAATAACTGAAAACCCAGGACAAGGTTATTTGACTTTGTGATAGAGGACACAGGTTGTACAGGGGAGGGGGAGGGGGTAGAATATCGTAATATTACTGCGAATATGCACGGAAATCAACAATGCATTGGATTAAAAACCCATTTCCAACAACAATGCTTCTTGCATTGCTTGCATGAAGCTGGTTGAATGGAGCCATGATGGCCATAAATCACAGGCTGCCAACAAACAGACATTAAATGATTTGTCACGATGAGCCTACAACGATGGGTGTAACCTGTGAGGTTATGTTTCTGCTGAAGTGATCTGTAAACCTTTAACAATCAATTTTTCATTTTGGTGAGAAGGACACTTCAGAGAGCAGGCTGAGGCTTAAATCCGATCTGGGTCTGATGATAATAGGCTGCTGCGAGCGGCACCGTACGGAGCATTCAGATACGTATCCATTTAAGAAAATCACAACAGCGTGATTCTGTGTCCTTCGCTCAAGTGTTTGACTGTGATTGATTTATTCAGTGCTTACACCGAGTACGAACCCGGTTTCAAACAAAGACTGTCCACATTCCTTTGAATGTACAACAAAAAAAAAAATCTTTACCCATTAAATTCAATTAAACTTTAATAGACTAAGGGACAAAGGATATATAAATATATATATGTATATATATATAAAATTTATATCATATTTTTAAAGAGAAAAATCAGAAAATGTTAACTGTGAAGTAGTTTGAGTCTGAAAAAAAAAAAACCAAAGGGCAAAACTGCAAAAAAAAAAAAAGAATACCGACAACATCTTCTCTTTTCAAAAGTTTCAGATGAAGCCTTCCATACTTTATACTTAAAGCCTTGAAAAAAATCACCCAATGGTGGCTCCCAAAGGGAGCTCTTGGTGGAAAATTGCTCACCCTCATTTTTGTCCCCTGACCTTTGACTGAACTGCCGACTCCATGAAGACTGGATTATTGGCTTTTTAATGAAGAAGAACTCATAGACCTGGTCTAGACAAAACCAAATCTACTCATCATTTGGCTGTGTTTATTTGACAGGGAGTTATTGGACAAAGAGTAGGATGTAATGCACCACATGACCACAGGCTGGAGCCAAACCTGGGTGACCATCAGTTTAACTTTTGTTGTCAGGTTCTTTCATTTGGTGCAACCTGAAATCACAAAAGTCCCTCCGACCCTGACGGCAGCTGTAGGTCCAGACGATCGGTCGATTTGAACCCGTGCACGGACACACTATCTGACCGTGTGTCGGTTCTGCCCTGAAAAGCACAGAGGCAGAAACTCCATAAACCAGGGGGAACCATGTGTGAAACACACTCATGCTGCCCATTACATGTTGTTAACGTTGTTGACGTGATAAGAGAAGTGTGTAATGAGTCAACGTCTGATTGGGATTGATACCTTTAGCCTTTTCTACAGGTAGGCTGTTTTTTTTGTTGTTGTTTTTTTTATTAAAGCATCATTTTCCATTAACTTGCACCTTGTTTGCATTCCAGCTGTGTCCACAGCGCAGCGCCGTCCCTTGTCCCTGCAGCAAAAGACAAGATTAATGCTGCACTTTTTCTAAATGTTCCAGGACACTCCCTGAGACGTTCAACAAAGGACAAAAATATTTCCCCCTCCCACACATGCCCCTGCTCCTGCCCCGCTCTGGAACAAAAGAAAAATAATAAAATAAAAGGATAACAACTCACTCTGCAGAACTAATAATACAACACACATTTAATTATTTATAAAACATAACTGCTGAAGCACCTCCAAGGCCTGAAATATTAATAGAAAACTGTGGCAGCTTGGTAGAAGATGTATATACCCTGATGGTCTGAGCTGTGTGCTGCCCAGAGGAAAAAAAAAAAAGAAAACTGTTGGTACAGGCGCTGCTACACTGGCTTCACTGCATTGTTGATGTCTATTCTATATATATATTTCTTCTCTGCATCTGCAGCCCATTTTTGCAAGAAAGGATGAGTTTGTCATTGTGTGGTAGCAAAAAATAAATAACGTATTTGTGAGGATATTAGCATACATGAATGTAAAGTCGTGGCTGCACATTCCATTTCAGCAAAACCATAAATACATTCTTTATTGTACTGTGCAAACAATCACTAGAGGAGAGCTGCAGCAGGTTAGGGTGATAAAGGATAACACAGGAAATGTGGCAGTTAATGTGCAGCATCTACTGAAGAAGGGCTTAAACAATCAATAAAAGATGGAGGGAAAGAAGAGAGGTGAAAAACTGATGATAAATCAGGAATTCTAGGGAATTCTCTAGGGAGAAAAGAAGGGGAATTTTTGCCAAATATAAAAAGGCAAAGTTAGGTAGCTTAGACTGAGAAGCCTTTAAAAATATATATAATTATATATGGTTTACTGTTTGATTTGTCAACTTTAAATCTGAAATTTGTGATACATAATTTCCTTTCTGTTTAGTTTTGAAATGACTGTATGTATTTTTTTTTTTTTTTTTTTTGTACAGTCTAAAGTCATGTTACTTTTAGGTCGGTTTATGATTGAACAGTGTCGGCTGAACACCTGCACCGAGAGGCTGTACACAGAGATCACAGTGACCGCCGGTTCTTTTTATAATTATTCTTATTATTCCTTCCACTGAACAGCAGACTGTCCTCAGCTCTGGGAAGAAGGCGTTCTGTGTGGGGAAAATAAAACCCCGGTTTTAACAAGGCATTTGTCCCATCTACAATTACATCGTTTCAACTGTCTGGATGTACCAGCAGACTGCTGAACAGTAGGGAGAGTAATGAACACACTGCAGAGGGAAAAAGTTAATTTCTTTGGACTTCATAGACGGAGATGTTTTATGTTTTCATTTTTGGCTGTTTTTTAGGTTAAGATATATATTTTTATCACTGAAACAATTGACCCATTTTATCATGAAAGGGCAAAACTGGGCCACACGGGGCGGCGTGGTGTGCGTGTTGGATTCTTGTTTGGTGCAAGGATGGAGTGTTGAAGTGTCTAGAGCACGGGTTTCAAACTTTCAACCCATGGACCACTTTTGGCCCATGAACCACCCATGTCTGGCCCACAATAAAATGTCGGTACCAATGTAATCTGAATATTGCTAATGTTTCGTTGGCCCTTCAATGACACAATGAGTGCAAGAGTGGCACAGAGCTGAGTTCGAGTTTGAGAGCCCTGGTGTAGAGTGTGACCCCGGCTCTTGGTCCAAGCTCCCAGGATGACCCTGAACTGAAATGAAAACCTCTTTGTATTAATAGGATTCTTTATAGTCTTGACCAGAACCTTAAGTCGGTCAGTCGGTCAGTCAGTCGGTCAGTCGGTCGGTCAGTCGGTCAGTCAGTCGGTCAGATTCCATCCCATCTTTCTTACTAAAACACCATCACTCACAGGTTTATCTCCAGACAACAACTAAAACACTCTACTTTCTGACTCATTTAATCCAGATTATAATTTGTATTTTTTCTAATGTTTTCACCCCAGAGTCTGGACAGAAACATCGTGGTCCGCAGCCACGCCCGTGTCTCCTCCCTTACCTTGAAAGACATTCAGTTCACGTACGCGGGCCAGTATCTCTGCACCGCCAGCAACGCCATCGGCCAGGACAACCAGCACATGTACCTGGAGGTTCGCTGTAAGTCACCGACTGTTACATTATACCTAACTCTCAGATTTTTAAATCTGTTTTAACTTTTGTTCTAATAAGAAATATTTTAAATTTTTCTTCTTTTTATTGATCTTAAAAATCACTTTCACAAAAACAAATGTTCAGTAGAAGCTTCCAAAAGTAGGACATGCATTTGGAGCAGTTCCCTCACAGTTCTGCTGAGGATGAAGGGCTGGAGTGTTTAACTTCTCCTCACCCCCACCCTTGCACCTTCCCTCCTGCCATCGCTCTATTACCAATGTTATTGATTTTTCTCCCCCCCTCCACCTCCCCTCCGTCCCACAGGTAAAATCAGCAGCTAATGAACAAAAGCGTTGGCAGGTTTTCAGGCTGCTGTCAAAAGACATTTAAGGAAGGAGTGAGAAAAATCACTGGGCAGTAAGGAAATGTATTAAGAAAATGTCTGAAGGGTAAAAACAAAAAAAAACAAAAAAACCCTTGGTTCCTGATTCCATAGACCCAGAGACGTGTTCTGGGTCAAGAGCGGCTGCAGCCAATCAGAGATAAGAAAAGGAAGACATTTGTCTGATGTACAGTGACCTTACGTTGTGTTTAATTAATCACTGCAATTCATGCACCGTAAAGTGAAAGTGACGCTGTAAAAAAAAAAAAAAAAAATAGTAGTTAGACTCAATCAAGTTCAGTTTTTTCCCTTATTATATTTGCATCTCTGGGTCAACACATGTTTGTGAGTATGAATATTTGAATGAAGTTTTTGGCCCAATGCTTGTATTGGTGTCAGTGCATCCCTATTAGGAAAACATGTAATAACTGATTTAATGTAAATAAAAATTAGGAACAGAAATGTAATTTTCCGCGTAAAGCTCAAACTTCTGTATCAGTGAATGCAGACGTCAGGGTGGTGGAGCGGCTGCCTGAGCTCAGCTGCACAGAACTGCTGTGTATTTCGGAGAGATCCTCTGAAGACGCTCTGTTCTTTGCCGTCACCTCTATTTCTGGGCATAAATAGCAGGTGAGAGGGAGCAGGGGATGCTGGGTCAGTGTGATTTGTTACCATGGAGACCAAAGTCTCAGGTCAGACTCAGCCTCGGGAGAACAGTGATGTTGCAGGCACAACATGAAGGGACATGAGTTAGGTGGAAAAAGGGGAGTGAGAAGATTGACATAAAAAAAAAAAAAAAACCTTTCTGGATTTAAACCACGTCTATTTTGGTCTGTCTCCATCTTCATAACGTTCCTTAAAAGTTACAAGCAATTTACTCGAGTGTAAATTATAGTTTATTTGACCAGGAAACTCGTTGAACTTAATTTTGGTCGCTTGATTATATTCTGGTATGCTTTTAAACAACAAAAGTCTCATTGTTTTGTTTTAATAGTAGCTGTGATTATGTGGTTAAATTGCTCCTATCCTTCTAAGGTAAAGGCTCGGAGACGTTTCTCTGAACCATCGGCAGCTCGTGACTGAATAAGAACGTTTTGTTTTGTTCAGTTTTGTTCTGGGGTATTTGTTGTGGCTAAAGTGAAAACAATTCAAGGCATTTCTGACGTCACTGAAGCTGTTAACTTCAAAATAAACTAGCGTTGAGCAGCCCAGATGTCAGGGGCTCGATGCTGGTCTTACTACAAAAAATTGTTGCATTTTGATTTGAAATGGATCACTCAAAACATTGTGTTATTCAGTAGGTATATATGAATAAAATCTGCGTTTTGATTTGTTAGGTTTTTAGGTTAGGTTTTTTTTTTTTTATGGTTGTGGCATCTAAAATTCATTTCCCATGAGCCCTAATTCCTGAGGTAGGATTCACATATTGTAGGCCAAATCTTACTTGATCTCATAATTAAAATCCCACAGCTAAAATCAAATATTAAGACAAAGAATAAAAAGCGATATACAACGAAAACACAGGATTACCATCCGCCTGATTCCAAACATCCAGCAATTGTCTGGCAGATATGCGGTGTTCATGGACTTGTTTGAAAGCTGGCGGTGAGCTTAAGTGATCGGAGAATCATCACGTAGCTGCGACCCACTGTTACTATGCAATTATCGATAAGAGTCGGCCTTTGTCTGCTGGAATCCCCAGCTCTCCGTGCCCTCTATCACCAACTCGCCCACTCACTGAATAAAGACCTTATCTGAAGATGGGACTTCCTATCTGCAGCACAGTCTGATCCCATTAGCTGTGCTGAAACACACTCAAGGTTTTCTATCCTTTTTTTTTTTTTTTGGACTCTGTGTCTTCAGCAGTCGAGGTTTGTTGAGCGTATCTCATGGAAACACTCCGCCGCTGGAAGTCAGCACCCGCCAGAAAGTCATCGTTGCTATTGTAAAATGGTGTTTTTATATTAGGTCTCTTCAGTAATTCAGTAATTAAATATTGAGTTCCAGGAGCAATAAAACAAAAAAGATTTTTCTCTCTATCTTTCAGTACATTTTCAGTCAATTGACCTTGGAAGTAAAAAGTAAAAGTAAAAAATTAATTATTTTAAGTGGGAAGAAGTACACTCAAGTGTCCGTATCAACCATGAGACAATGACTTTTAAGAGATAAGAGCGCAGATAAAAGTCCTCCAATGAAATGATACAAATAGGCAAAAACACCAAAGAATCACCTGTGTCAAAAACAAAAAAGATCCCAGAGAATATAGTGCAGAAATGGGCGACAGTTTGCTGACTGTGCAGAAGTGAAAAGATAAAAAAACCCAAACATATAAAAGAGTGAGATGGTGAGGGAGTCGGAGGCTTCAGAGAACAGAGCATCTCTTGGACTCGGCCTCATCTATCACTCCACAGCCGCGGTGCAATGACTGAAGCTTTCAAGGATGAAGGGTCAGAAGTGAAGCACCGTCTGTGTCAGGGGCCACAGTGTGTTACAGCAATCACAGGGAGAAAAAAAAAACCCTACTTCGCTTCTCCCACATGAGAGGCCCAGTGTGAGTCAGATGTTATAAACACTGAAAAAGTCATCCGTCGTTATAGCCTCTCACTCTTTAATGGCCGGGTCAAAGACTCCAATACAGAATTACTTCAGCTTTTCTTTTGAAAGTCGTCACAAAAAGGCAAAATATGAATACAAGACAAAAAATTGTCAAATAACTAATAGATGTGTAATATATTCTAAAGTTTGATTACTAGCTAAACATTAGCCAGAGATAGCTTAAAATAATACATAACCAGGAAAAGATGTACAGGGAGGTTAGTTATCCAAAAAATAAATGTTTTTTTTTTATCCATAGATAAGCTGAATGTCAGTCTCATGAGAAGCTAAAAGTTAGCCTAAGGTCGAAGAGAAACAATATTTCTTAAGCAATAGATCTCCACTAGAAGCTAAAGGTTAGCCTAAAAAGTAGCCAAGCAATGGCTTAAAAAATGGTCATGAGGAAAACAAAACTTGAAGGTTTGACTATGAGTAACTAAATGTTATTCTAGCGCTCTAAATAAACAGGCCATAAAAATCATAACAGTTAGCACAGAAATAGAAACCATCATGGCAAGACATAGCAACAGGTAACCTAAAACTGTGGTAAATGTGCTAAAAAAAAGTCCAAATTTAAGACAAAAGAACCCTAAAGGTTAAAAAACTGTGGTAAATGTGCTAAAAAAAAAAAATTTCAGACAAAAGAACCCCTTAGCCCAGATGTAGCCAAGAAAAGTGAATTATTGTTAAACGAAAGACAAGTAAATGCTAATAGCTGGCTTGAAGATTACTGTAACTTAGCTCCAATGTAGGTTGAGAGTTTTTTATCAGCCAAATGGAGAAGTCATTTTTTATTTTTCATCTGTTTTCCCCAGTGAAATGTTTTTTTCTCACTCGTAGGAGTTGGTGGAAAAGCTAAAAAAAAAAGTTAGGGTGGGGGGTTGTAGACACATGAAATATTGCCTACCCATGATTCCCTGCTCCAGCAATAAAGTGCTTATTGTGGCCTTGACTGGTGGACTGAATCCCCTCCATCCCAGGGATTTTTACTCAGAGTTGATGTGTTTGGTAATAATATATCGTGTCATACAGCAGGTGCAGAGCTGGTGGCAGTCCACGGTTTGGGATTTCTTATCTATTAGACTTTTACTTTCTGTCCATCGTTATTTGCCTTTTGAGAAATACAATGAAAATAATTGTCCCGCTGACAGGAAACCATTCTGTTCAAGAAGAACAAACTCATCCTGACTTTTTTTTTATTGCTATTTGAGGTTAAAACAGGAAAACAAACCTGATTTTGTTTGTGCCAAATACAATGTGGTCAATGTTTCTGCAGCCCCTCGGCAAAGGCCTTCTTATTGACACCCCAGGCCTGTATTTCACAAATTAGATGGAAGATAAAGGAAGGAAAACCTACTTATAAAGATAGGTGTGCTGTTCAAAGGTGAGGCTTATTAGATAATCCCTAATTTTCTGACGTCTGATGCGATTACTTTCCTGTCTGTTCCAGATGCTCCTAAAATCCTGGGGTTTGTGACAACCTACACCTGGGAGGGAAACCCAGCCAACATCAGCTGTCAGGTGGACTCTCACCCAGGAGCCTCTGTAGTCTGGTTCAGAGACGGTTTCCAGGTCCCCACTGCCAACACGACCAACATCAAGGTCTACAACACGCAGACCACCAGCTACCTGGAGGTCAGCAGCTGCTGCGACTCTTTTTTATACCAAGAAAATCATTTATTTTTTATGTTACACCAAATGACTTTAATACAAAAATAATTGAAAAAAACTTTTTTAAACCATTAATACAGAGAAAGATGTTGTAGGAAAGGTGTGAATAATAATAATTAAGCTAACTAAAAGATTATCCCCTAACAGCAAAACCCACAAATGTTACTAGCTGATTACTTACCGATATTTGAGTAACGCTCAGCTAATCGGTAGCCAATAGGTAGCTAATAGTTAACAAAGATATCTAATATTCAACCAAAGATGGTGAGAAGATACTGTAGCTTAAGGTAGCCAAAGGACACCTTAAATTTAACCTGAAAAATACAGCTGCAGTTCAACGTCAAAAAGCCTCAAGCTGGGCCACAGGGTAAACGAAACAAACACACTGGCACAAAATGACCCCAAAACAGCTTACAGTTAACCAAAATATACCCAATATATACATTTCTATGTATGTAAGCAGGCTTTGTAATGATTTGGGGCTGTATTTTGGGCAGTAGTGTTAGCACACAGAAATATGTAACGAAGCTCTACTTGATAAAAGAAAAGAAAACATGCCCAGTGTTTCTTAGAGGTTTTGTACTTTTCCGACCCTCAGGTTACACCTCTGTCAGCCAGTGAGTTTGGAAGCTACAACTGCTCTGCAACAAACTCCATGGGCACGGAGTCCAAGGAATTCCTCCTCCTCCAAGCAGGTTTGTCCGATAAATAATTCATAGAAGAAAATGAAAAGAATGACGGTTGGAATTTTTTTTTTTTTTTTTTTTTTTAAGGTCTCACCTTTTGGCACAGACTAGCTGATGATCCAGAATAGAAATCCTGCAAACTGAAAGCAAATTAAGTGCCTGAAATATAGCAAATATGGCTACAACTGAGAAAGGGCCAAATATATACATATATATAAATATCTGAAAAAAAAAGATCTGGGTCACATGGCGTAGAAACGGGCCCCTGAGCCTGTAATTGTGCAAGTGTGATTAATATAAAGTGACCGCAGCTGCGGATGAATATTTCTCACAGGAACGACTGTATATTACAGAATATTACAGTATATTAAATATTGGCAGAACTGTTTGTTGTCCATTTATCGTGCAGCCCAGTGCAGCTAATCAGACTCCTGAGTGACCAACCTGCTCTAATGAGGCCAAAACAATCTCTGCACCAGATCAGGCGTGTTCTGACTTACAGACACAGCAGCACCAGCAAACACATTAACATGTACAGCAGGGATTTAAATTTAGATTTAATGGAAGTTGTTGACAGACCTCTGGGCTCCACTGTAGCCACGGTTTTACTGCTCATCTCTGATATCGTTTTAATCTTGTTAAATTTCTTTGATTGTTGGCCGCAGTGCAGATAGAAAAGATTTTTTTTTAATTTGAATGTGAAATAGAAAAGCACGAGTTATGGTCTAGAACTGGTTCACATCTGGCACATAGGCCACTTGAATATGGACCCCATCCACAAGGAGCTGTGCCAC